GTTCTTCTGAGGGTTCAGTAATGCTGCCTTGGTTACTTGATTTGAACTTGGATCTTGATCCATTATCAAAGCTCCAGCTCTCCAACCAACATAACGGTATGGGTATATCTGATTCTTTCCTAATAAGATGAGATGTCTGCAAATTCCTAAATCATTCCCTTCACTAAATGCAAATTTGTTCCATTTTTATAGCAAAAATGGTGATGGAGCAGTTGATATGTCCTGTAAAATGTTACTGAATTGTTTCCATCCTGTCTGTTGTCTGATGACTAGAAACTGAAAGTGATTGATCTTGCTGAGCTGATTTATACATGGGAAAGAGATGGGAGTTGTGACTGTAATTTTTTTTTCTTTCTGTGGTGTCTAGAGAACTGTATGAAATATATTTTCAAATGCATACAACTAAAAGTTCTTTGCTTTCCTTGACATTACAGCAAAAGGATTGTGCAGTGGATAGGATTAAGGTAAACGCTGTGAAATCTTTTTTTTTTTTTTTTTTTTTTACATGCCCAAATGGAAAGTGTGGGTGGCTGCACTGCTATGATATGATCCTACTTAGGCTGAAGTCTGTGACAAGACCCCAATTGCTTGGAATAGAGAATCAGGATTTTATAATCCATCTTTAAATTACTTTTCATGATCCAAGAGTGAAGGTGCAAGGAATTTTGCATAGACTGAAGAAAACAGTAATATAGTAGCACTGTTGGAGGAGAGCAAATACTTACAAATACAGCTGGGCTCTAGTGTGGAGTCATTACTCTGAGTCTTGTACAATTTATTGCCTGATAGATGCCAGAGATGGAGACATTATGTCACTGATGAGTAAGTTCCTGACAAAACTTTGGCACACTGATTGACAGCAGTAAAACAGGAAAGAATCATCCTCGTGTAAAAACGTTACAGTCACTCAATGAAAGAGGCCTCCTTATGGAATCCCATGTGCAGATCTGGTTGTCTTACAACAGGGTACTCTAGAATAGGGAGATTAATCTAAATATTCAAGAGACCAGGAGAGTTTTGTTATTTTTCTGAATTTTGTGCTTTAGAAATGCAAGCATGCTACTCTTTCAAAAGGAGGACATAGAAAGCTGTTTTCAGCTGCCGCATTCAGTAGTAAAACTGCTATTGTCTTCAGTACGGCCAGAATTAAGCATCATGGGCCTGATATCAATTTCCAGGGAACAGTGCGGAGAAGTTTTCAGAATAGGGCCCAATGAAAAGATTGCCACTGAAATATATGGAAGAGAAGGAGGCTACATAATGAGATAGTAAGTTGGGATGCAAACTTCGGCCCTGGACACAGATTTCAGGTGGAATTACATTCCATGGAGCCAAATCCTGTGTATTACTTCAGCGTATTCCAGGTGAGTAAGGCTAGATAAGGAAGGTCATCAGTCTCAGTCTTTGTCTCACACGGCGCATCTAAACATTCAATTAATTCACAGGGATAAACTCTAGTGCAGTCCACAGGGATAAACTGGCTAGAGTCAGCTGCTTCTGGGCACAGTGTCTGGACTTGTACCCAGGACTGCAGCAGTTAGAGCCAAGGCAGAGCACCCCGAGGCTGGCAGGGAGCCTGGGGGGTCAGCCCCAGGCTCCAGGTACCAGCACCAGGTGGCAGAGGGGCTGGGTGGGGCACAAAGGTGCTAAAGAACGGGGTTGGGTAGGAGGCAGCCCCCACACTTTTGCACCTTCATACCCCAGCCAGCCCTGGTCACCATCTACACAAGCGTTTCAGTGGAGTTAATTACTCCACCATAAGAATGGGGACCATAAGAAAATACTGTCCTCAACAGGACTATCTTATTAGATAGTTAATTCATTTAACTTCAATTCAGGACTATCTTATTAGAGAGTTAATTCATCTACTGCACCCTAATACCAGCATTCGTGTAGACAGTGACACTTAATTACAGAGCTAATTAGTCAGCTCCAGTAAAGCACACAGGTACATGCATCTACAAAAAAAGAACCTGGCAAAGGCAGAAATAGGAAAGAATAGCAAAAACAGCTTTAAAGGCCAGTTTCTTGCTCCTAGTTGGTTGCAGTGTGCGTATTCATATGAGTAAGCCCACTGAAGTTGATGTATGTGGCTTACAACCTACAAGCACAGCTCTCTACTTTAGACTCAAACCAGCAGAGTTTCTCTAGAGTCCTTCTTAAGACCATATGAACCTGTGATCATTCCTGTAAGATTAGGCATCAGAAAGGTGACTAAAGTAAGCAAAAAAGTATTTAATGCTGTTATTTCCAGTCTCGTGGTCCTATGGTTTTCCTAGAAAGAGCCATTCCCACTTTGCTCTTCTTCTTATCAGAGGAAAAACAGTTTGTATTTAAAACATAGGTTGTTTTTATTTAAATATTACATATCCAATGTAGCAACCAGGACCTGGTACAACCTGCAACCTTCAAAATGGAAGTTGAGCTTCCATTACTGTAGTGTTCCCCCACATCCTCGCAGAGCAATTGGTTCTGCTTTTGCACATACACTGAATTGTAGAACAGTTCACAGTGTTCATGTCCAGGGTCAGTTCTACTGACCTGTTAACCATATTGACAACATTCTGTACATGTGTAGATGAGGTGTCGTGTTTTGCCTTAGTGAGAAACCACAAGACAAAGGTAGGCAGAAAACACCATGTCATCACCAAGTAACATAAATAAAAGACTATGACATGAAAGTGAAACATTTTAAAGAGCAAAAGGAAAATAGAATTTCTATATGAAATTTACTTTTTAGGTTAACTGGAGAAAAAAAAGTTACTATAGGTGCCATTCATGTCTACTAGCTTGAGATTTTTTTTTTATTGGTATTCCCTGTAATACGTGTAGGTAATATAAAATAAATTAATATTTCTTCTGTCTTGAAAATTTTGTATTAAAAGTACAGATACTCTGGGTGTGTCCCCATGAGTGAGAATGTGCATTTCCCCAGGGACAACTAGCAGTGGCACGTGTTTGTGCAAGGACTGAAACTCAGGAAAGTAAAACACAAATCCAGTGGAGGTATGCAGTTAATGCTCATAATGTAGAAGCTCTCTTTCAGAAGTAAGTGACCTTAGTTTGTTTTGCTCACTTATAAGCTACAGTGCCCCAAATATTTTATTTCTGAATGAAAGCATCCGCATGTGGGTGCAGTATGTTTTAATTAATGCATATTAACTTCACAGCTTCAGTTCCTGATAATAAGATGATAATATTAAGCTACTTCAGGAAAATAGTAGTGTGTGGGGGCAATCTATTTCTTCCAAATATATACAGAAACAAACAGGAGAAACTGTTTTCTCTGCAAGAAAAGGAGACCTTTCTAATTGAAGGTATATGAAAGCTAGCAAGTGAGTTTAGATAACTTACGAGTCCTCTCACATGCATCTATCAGTACCAGGACAGCACCTCATTGATGTATTCCACATGTTTCCACTGCTCTACTAATAATCTTAGGTCACTTCCTAATAGTGAAAGAATTACTGCTAAGCGAATAAAGATGGAGTTAATACAAAAATGCCTATTCAGATACCATCCATGGTTTGAGTAGCATGAAGACAGCTGTGCAATAAAGTGCTTCCTGAATAGAAGATTTAGGTCTCAGCTTGCTGTTACATAATCAGCTTTTCTTTTGCAAAAATTCAAAATGTATTTTTAATGAGGATGTATTGTTTTTTTAAATGATTCAGTTTCTGAATAATATTATTCATAAAAGAGTGAAGAATTAAATCGTTCAAGTTAATTAAAAAGCTGTAAATGTCTGGAGTTACATGAGAAAGCATTTAAGCCTAGGAAGATGTTATGCAAGTCAAAGGTGAAATCTCCAAGAAAATAAAAATGGATTGATCAGGGGATCTGTCAGTGAGTAAATGTTTGTTTTTGTTACTAGATAGCCATCCTCCTTTAAAATTACATTCTGTAGAAGATGTTCACATTAAACATTTTTGCATAGACCAACTGTCAGTAGGAATTATGTGGGCAAAAAGTTAGAAGGCTGAGGAAAGTCTAGTGCTTAGTGGGTCATCCTTGCTGTGTCACCCATAATTTTCTTCCTTCTCTATTTTCCTAGTCCTAGATATAAAATGAAAGAAATCTTTAAAAGTAAAGCTTTCCTTGGCTGCGAGTTTTTTATTTATACAGAATTCTCATATTCCTCATGACTGACTAAAATTGAAAGTACTTAAATTTAAATAAATGTTTTCTATGGACGATCACCTTGTTGCTTCAAAGCAAAATTGCCCTGTTAAAATCTTCTCTTTCTTCCAAATGAGAAATGTGCTGTTGTTGGTAAGACTGTTGGTAATTTCTCTTTGTCTGGCCTCTGAAATTAACTCATCGTTAACAACACTAAATTAAAAACCCATTAACCAAATATGTACTCTGCCATGCCTGGCATAGGCTTGTGACTTGTTTACTTTAATGTAAATTAGTTAAAAAGGAGCTGTCCTCGAGTTGTCTTCCTCTTCCCCTCTCACTAATATTCAGTTTCTATTGAAAACAGGAATAGTTACAATGCAGATGTTGTCTATAGCTTTGTAGTAAAGTGAAAACTCATTTCACTGTGATACTAAGCTCTTCACATACTTTGTTCCTGGCTCACTGAGCTTAGTATCACAATGAAATGAGTTTTTACTGTGCCGCAAAGCCATAAACAAAATTTGCATTGTGACTATTCTTGTTTGCAACGGAAACTGAATACCAGTGAGAGAAGAGGAGGAGGACAGCTCAGGTACCGCTCTTTTTTTTGCTAGTTTACATTAAATCAAATATGTCACAAGCCAATGCCAGGCATGGGAGAGGTCCTGGCAGAGGTATATGTTTGGTTAATGGGTTTTTATTTAGGTCTAGCCCACTCTTTGTAAATCCCACTTGGTAAAGTCCTGTAAAACTGCAACATTTGGTAAGGTCACCTCAAGATGCTTTTTGATGAAGGCTTAAAACTCCAGAAGAAATTCTCCAGATCTTCCTGTAATGGACCTCCTAGTATCATTTGTACATTACTTTTGCTTTCTTACCTTAGCCAGATGTGCTTGCAGTTTGTTTTTGATATCGCCTATTTCAGAAATGCGATGATCAAAAGCCAGGTTGGTATCAGTGTATTGTTTCCACATTTCCTCAGATGTGTTCTCTAGCACATTCTCCATTTCTTCACAGAGTTTGGCAGAGTTGGCCCGTGCATTCTGGGAGTTCCTGATGTTGTCATCACTGAACTTTGCCCATGTCTGAGGAACTGAAACACTGGATGGAAACAATTGGAATTGAGTGAAAAAGAAATCAAAGTCCTCAGCTGAACTGAGACTTTCATTCAATTATAGCTGAAAAGCATTGATGAATTTTATAATCAGTACTTCAGCTTAATTGTGTGGGTTTCATATATTATTTTGTTATTTCCCATAAGCCAGTCTGTGTGTGAAGCACAGAAATGTGTTTTAATTACCAATGAACAAAGTTTCAGCAGACCTATTGCTTCATAGGATTCTAGCAGTTTTTTTGCATAAAATACATAAAAGATAAAATTACAGGGTTCTCAAGTTAGATTAATCCATTTGCTGATGTGCTTTAAAGTAATAAATGTTGTAGGGATGAATTGTCTTGTAAAAGTACAGAAAGATATAAAAATGAGCAGCAAACAAAGGAGATTTTGGTGCATAACAAGGCTGTATGGGCTTGATGTACAGGTCAGAATTAGAGGAAAGGAGGATTTAAAATTAGAATAGCCAGGAGGAGGAATGAAAAACATAATTTCCTGGAAGTTAGAAGAGTGATGTACATTAACACCCAAATAAATTTTCCTTTTCTAGCAACAATACTTGTATGGCTGGCAACTGAAGGTCTCAGTGCCCTTGGCATTATTACCAGGGTAAGTTTGTTTTTGTTTTGCTGCTTAAAGAATTACCTATTCTTGCATAGTTTCTTCCATGTACTTAGGCACAAATGTACAATTTTTCAACCTCAGGGCCTGAATGTCAGCATTCTGTTCCAACCCTTGTCTTTACCAGGTGCATATCATGCTCTAAGCTTACATCTGGTGTAGCCCACTTGGAACTTGGCCCATTTAGTCCAGGGCAAAGGATCTTGCTTTGTTTCTCCCAAATTTCTGTTGTTGGATCCTAGAGCAGGAGGCTAAACTGTGTGTCAGAGGTGGAGGACATGCAAGATCAAGCTAGCCAGGGAGCACAAGAAAGAGTTCATAAAGAAGATGCTTACTCCATAAACCCTTTCCTAGAGAAGCTGGAGAAGACTGGCCCTAAATCTTGGGGTAAGCACTATAGGTTAGTGTCTAACATGCAGATCTACCAGTACCCCTACTTAAAGGAGGAACCAAGGGTGCTGTACTTAAGACTCTGACCATGGATTCAGAAGTACAGGCAATCCCCACTTAGCGCTAAGTGAAACAGCGTTATTTTGTTATAGCGCTCATATTACATTCATACCTGATTCCACTTAGTGCTCAGCGGGTTTTGTTATAATGCTCACAGTTGCCCTCTTGGTTCATCAAAACTTTCAATTTCACTTAGCACTATTTCTGCTTAGCGCTCGGTTTCTCGGGAACCAATTAAGAGCACTAAGTGGGGGCTGCCTGTATGTTCAATTCCCAGCTCTACCAGCTCTCCCAGCTCTACTGTCTGTGTGAATTTGGGTTAATTAATGAATCCCCCAGTGCCTTGGTTCCCCACAACTAACATTAGAACAACACAATCCCCCTCAGTGCAAAGAGGACTGGGGAGAAACTCTAATATTTGTAAGGTCCTTGGATATTGCTTACAAACATGTTGCAAGGTGCTACTTTGAGCCAAAAGACAGGCACCCATTGCCTGTCTTTTTGCAATTTGGTGTACATGTGCAGGATTGTTGAAGACTTGGTTCATCATCCAAACTTCACAACTGGCCTGAATCCTCATTGTGGGATGCACCAGAATCCCCAATTCAAACATCACCACATCCATGTGGCTCTAAATTTGCAGCTTCAGCTTTTCCTAACCTGAGCTCTTCTTCCCAAGCTGTGTGCACTGCAGTCATGCCTTTAGGACTGCTGGGACATTATGTCCTAGATGGTGTGTCTAGATCTTGGCATGGCTGCTGGCCAACAATCCATGGGCATGTAAGGGATAAGTCAGAGCAAGACTGTGGGTTAATGTTCAGTATCCAAACAACCTTTGTGCTTGAGAAGTGAATTTTCAGCATGCCCAGCCCCTCATTTGGATAGTGACCTCCCTCCACCCCAACTGCAAATATCTTCTATAGGTCATTTCAGTCAGTCCTCTCACCCACAAAAGCTCTATTTCATTGCTCTTTTGTGTTTCCAGCGTTAGTTTGTTAGCAAAGAGATTAGTTTTACCTCCTTACTGAAGGCATTTCCCAACATTTCAGGGTGATTCATTCTTCTTTTCATCAGAAAACAGATAGGAACGCCTACTAGGCGATGGTAAGGTGTGTTTTCTAAATCCCTCCGTGGGAAAACCTATTCAGTCTAATTAAAAGCATATCTAAGGTGTAACAGGGCACCAACAAAGCCCAAGCTGGGCATTAAAACTGATTTGCAGCTGCAACCTATTTTGCTAACTCCATATTAACAACCCAAACGCTGAAGGCATTTTGGAACTGTAAGCAGTAAAAGCTAATCTAGATGTTCAGCATGAAAAAGGATGCATCTTGCACCATTGCCTGCTTTCCAGTTTACTTTTTTAATAGACTTCTCAGCCGCCTTAATTTTTTTTTCCCCATCAACAAAAATAGCGTAAAAAATATACAAAGACCTGTGATTTATACCTGATCTTCCTCTAAAGTTTTTGAAACTAAACTGTTAAAGACCTGCTTGCTATTTCTAGATTTTTACTACTTGCTTTGTTTAATATTTTAGCTGAACATTAGGGCTGAAGGGTAACACATGCACAAAGAAAATGTGATCTTTGCCAGTGTTTGTTTTGTCCATGGATAGTTTTGATTTTCTGTAAGTTTTCTCTCCCTCAGATCAAACACAATAAACTTATCAGGTGAGAGGAATTGAAAGCTCTTGTTACTGAAAACTAAACTGCCCCAGTGCCACCATAAATGTAGGCAGTTGTCTTGAAAAAAATAACTCGCACAACATGATGTCGCAGTGAAGTACATTAATCAGCATTGTAAACGTGTAAGTTTAGAATTTAAAACCATGATTGCTTGAACTGCCCCTGCTTGCTGCTTCCAGCCTAGATCTTCTCTATTTTCTTTCTGCCATCATGAATCCCAATGGGATTATACATCTCATCATAAAAACAGATTTCCTAGAAGGTCTAATTCTGTAGTCTCTGAGTTTCTTAATTTATTGAAAAGGTTGTTTTCCCACTCCAGATAATCTGGTTCATTCTGCTGAATGGTTCAGGTATAAAGTACCTGCCATGCTCCTGATTACAGTAGACATACCCTAACATGATGGCAATTTCAATAAAATACTAATGGGAAATGGCTGTGCTGGAAGTACTGCGTGTTCTGGTAACAGGGAGCAACACAAGAAAAATGGTAAGCCTGGTCGACCCCAGGATTGCAAGGCTTCTACATTTTGGACTGCTTTGTACCTCTGTTGGCTAAAGAATTCTTGTTCACTGTCAGTCTAGCATAATGCCTACCAGATTCCACCCAAGATATGCCTTCATTATAGTCTTGAAGTGAAGTGAAGTGAAGTGAGGCCTTAGTGAAAAACGATACTAACCGAACTTCCCTCTAAAAAGCAGACCTTCAGATTTTAGAATGGCAGTAAGCACTAATTATGAAGTGGAGTCACCATCCTGCATAGTGTTGTATTGCTAACTAATCAAGCAGCAATACAATATTAGTACAACAAACACTGCCATCTATATTGCGTACATTTATTTTTCTTCTGTAGTTTTTAAGCCAGTTGTATGTGTATGCTTGCCCTCATTGCTCCCTGTGGTTATCAGTCATTTTCTCACCAGCAGGTCAAGACAATACTTTTTAACAACTTACTAAAACAGGAAATCTAGATCAGACAATAAAAGCAGGGTATTGTGAACATTCTCAATAATGCCAGTATGATGGAAAGGCTTAAACATTTCTGACAAATGTGGAGGCCTAATTCTCATGTAACTCTGGACCACTCCAAGGAGCTTAGTTTGTGACACCATGGTTTTGACCCAAATACTCCCCAATCGCACACTGTTTCAGCTGAGTTTTGCTTTGATTAGTTTTTAGGGAAAGGCTGCAGGAATTCTTCAAGGCATAGAGCCAAAGTTTTGTATAGCAGTAAAAGAAAGTCCTTGATGGAAAAATAAGGCTTGCTATTGTCATGACCCAAAAGGCATGATTGTGTGTGTGTGCTTCGGCATTAGAATTATCCACGTTAAGTTGCAGAGCATTGCACGGGAGTTTCCTGTAGCAAGAGGAGACCCCGGTGCAGGGACCAGTTTCCCGCCTTTTCTGCAGCTTCTTTTGCAGAGTGCATTGCTCGAGTTGCAAGAGGAATGCACGGTGCAAAAGAGTTCCCGCCACTGGTATGCAAATTCGTTCCCCGTA